GGACGGCCCCGCGGCGCTGCGCGGCCCGGGGACGAGGAAGGCCGACAGCGAGGAAGAGGGGAGCGGCGTGGAAGGAGGAAGGCTGGGGCCTCCCCGGCTGCCTTTGACCCCGCGGCGACGGGAAGCGCCACGGCACCTCGGAACGCGGCACCGGCAGCACCCTGTGCTCGCTGCCTCCACTGCTGCCTTGCCCGGCCTCGCCGAGGTGGGCGACGGCGCCTGGGCATCGCGCAGTGCTGGTGCACCCGCGCTCCTGGCAACGGCCGTGTCCTGTGTCGTGAGCCACAGCGCGGTGAAGATGAACTCTCACCAGCTTATGGTGGCATTAATGTAAGAAAACACCGTTTTTCCTTTCAGTTTATACTGTAGATAGTAGCAGAAGTTGTGCCAATACCCAAAACCTGGATATTAGGAAAAGTTGTTCTGTTTGAACATTGCTGACCCTCGCTCTACCGACGATCGCTTCCCACCTGTGTGGCAGCACTCCGGCGTGATCGGCTTCACCACGGTGCTCTCCCCCACAAGGTCTGCGGTTCTGGTGCAAGGACTGAGGCTGCCACGTGGACATTAAGACACTTATCCCAGAATTAAAACCACATGAAACTGAATTTCCTGGTGTTTGACGTGCGATTTCCAAGACAACTCTTGCAAGTGTTGCAGCACGCTACAGGTAAACTGAGACTACGCTCACTTCACACAACCACTGTAGAGGTGAAATGCACAGTTCTGTGTCACAACTCTGGGAGAATCCTGAAAAAAAGTTACATTTCAGCAGGCATTGAAATCATATCCATACTCGGTAACAGTATGCCACGATCACTGTTACCATCTTTCACAGACATTGGTCGGCATTTGAACGTGGGCCTGCTTCCCATCAAAAGGACAGAAATTTCCCATTACTACTGTTCACACTCTTTTTTCTAAAATCTGGATTAAACTTGAACTCAGGGTAGTATAGGGCCAGCGGCAACTATAGAATACTATGTCATTGTGTGTCACTTTGTCACTATTATATAGTCAACTGGATTAAACATTCAAACTCATTTTCAGTTTGCAAGATGATTTTTCTTTTTTTTTTTTTTCTAATGAAATAGCATATATGCAAGCAGCTTTCACTCATCTCCGTTTGAGCACAATCAGAAATTATGTCAAAGATTAAAATGGTGTCCTGTTCAGACCACAGCCACTCAAAACAGGGTAAGCAGCACAGATAGCACGTCAGGAATAACAAAAACCTCCGTACTGCTGCTACCTGGCAATCCAAAAGCTGTTTTTCTCCTTTAACAGGCTCTGTCTCTATTAGGTGCCATCCTTGCAGACAGGATGATTTTCATTCGCATAATGACTTCAATCAGACAATCTCAAAGTGTTTTAAAGATCTAAAGTTTGTTAGCTCTAAGGCTTGCAGTGATTTACCTTACCATATTACAGTGGATAATGATAAAGCATCATCATGTATTTCCAACATAGTTAATGGAGAAAAATCAAGAAAAATCATTACAGTCAGTCTTCAAATTATGCCCTGCTAGCATATTCATCTTAAAATAAATTATTTGCAACATAGTACTCCTAAAATAGATTCTCTTGCCTGTAAAATATGCCTACTGTTTTGTTGCTACAGTGTGGATTTAAATATCAGATATATAGTTACAGAGTTAATAGCGAGGTAAAAATTACTGTTTCTCTTCTTAGCAAAGATGTATTTTTAAATTAGCCAGGAACAAGGATGACGTGAACTACACAACACTGTACAAAAGGCATACGCTGTCACATCTCAAAACTGCAATCCATTTTCTTTCCTCTCTTTGTTCTCAGTAACTGTTTGAAGTTGATGCTACAACATAATACTAATTAATTTAGTAATCTTATGTAGCACAATGATTAATTTACAAGGTAATGAAACCAAATTTAACCACTGATAAAATAATGAAAATAAATCGTAACATGTTCTGAGAATTTGATAAAAAGCTCAGAAAGCTGAAAAATCCTTATTAATGATTCTTAGAGTTCGCTTCAGTAGAACCTTCTTAAGACTCAAGTTAATTGATTCCTAAATTAAAGCATTTGTGGAGGCTAACCCAGTGTTTTGGATAGAAAGATTTATAAAATGATCCTATTTTGAGTCACATGAAAGAAACACTTATAGACCAGAAAAATCACTGAGAATATAAATCAGGAAATACAGCGCTAAAAAAAAAAATCACCTCAAGGTAGTAAACAACTTATATTAGGGCCTGTACCGAGGACGTATTTGTGAATTTGTGAAAGACAGAAGATGCGAGTACGCATTTGATCAGTGAAACTCAGCTTTAAAAGACCAGATATCAAATTTCAGCAGCAATGGGCCAAGAAATAAAAGGCTTCCTCTCCCCTGCAACACAACTCAGGAGCTTATAGGAGAGCTATTGTAAGTCACATGACAAGTACGGCTTTAGAAGTGGAGAAAATAACTGAGCAAAAAGAGACTTCAACTAATGTCTCAGTTACGAAAGAGTAGAAAGAATTCCAATAGTTGTCACCGTGTTCTGGCAACTTCCCCCCCCAGGTACTGCATGCCAGGATCACTCATACTAGACTTCAGGGTTTTTTGTGAGAGGAAGCAAAATCAAAAATAAGCATCAGCTCAATACTTACTACCTAAAACCATTCATCTTCGTTTCTCCTCTGACATCGTTCGCCCTCATTCAAGTTTGTAACCCTTTAATATTTCTCATGTGAAAATTGTGTTTGTTAACTTCAGCAAAGTTCTCTTCTGGAATGCCATCTAGTGGTAGTATCTCAGAAGAGACCAGCTTTTACCTTTTTCAAGACTGAAAAAGCCTTCAGAACCAACCAATGAAGCAAAATACTTTCCATTTTTTTCAATTTTCAAAAATCTCAAATTTTCTGTAATTACAGTAATAATAGTTGAAAAAAGCAATGCTAAAGAATGCAGTGAAAATAGTTGCTAGAGTCAATATCCTAGGTATACTTACTGTTTTTCTCTTCTACTGTCCTACTCCCCTAATACCTTGATTGTATAAAATATTACATAAGATGTAATTAATCATTAATAATAATGATGTCACAGGTAAACTTATAGGCCTAATAACTATGAAAAAACAGCTATGACAAAGTATGTAATGTAGTGCAGTGGTACTCTACCATAAATGTTTAACAAACTGCAGTTTTTTGTCATACAGCTATATTCTTATCTTTAAACTTGCAAGAACTTTATTAATGGTACTGAAAAAAATGTGAGCAAAGGCAAACTCGCACAGTATCCTTGGATCTAGTTTCTATATTTTAATTGGGGCTTATAAGCTTAAATCTGTAAACAGTTTTCAGAACAGGCAGGCATTGTTTCCATTTAAATGTTTGAAAGAACCTACCAGATGTGTCAAGATAGATCCACTATTTTTTTTTTTCATATTACTAAGTAATATTCAAGGTCTGAATCAATAATATACAAATAAACCTATAAAGTATGCATGTTCATATACAAAGCCTTTGTAAGACCCTGGTACTAGGGTTTGTGCCGTGTGTATTATGCCAAGTATGATAACCTACCTGCTAACCAAGAAACCTGTTCCTGCTGTCACCATAAGGGGGAGTCTTCCTTCTCCCTCTCACCCCTCCAATCTTGGGTCTTCCCAGCGCTTCCCCCGAGTCAGAATGAGTGTTTATGTGGGCAGCAAAGTCAGCCAGTTTGAGACAGCAATTCAGCTGAAAACTAAAAAGCTGGTATTTTTGGTAAGCCTAGTTTTCGTTACATCAGACCCCTGATCTCAGTACCTGCGTGGTCATAAAGACACTGGCAGTGGCTGGCAAAAATACACAACCAAAGGTGGGAGAGAAGGGTGGGATCGTACTTTTCTACAACTTTGATTTTGATTTCAAATGGCCTATAATATCTGTATTTGTTAACATACAAATACAAATTATAAAACTAACTCAGAATGAAGTACAAATACCCTGTTGATAATAAATTACAAAAGGAAATAAACCAAAGGTTGTGCAACAGCTGAGAAGAATTTTCTTAAAACCATTTTTCCAAGAAATTGGAAGCAGTCTTTAGATTGCTAAATACAAGAGGACATTAGGACAAAACATGTTTTTACGAAGTTGTTATCTTTAATTTAAAGACAACTGTCAGTAACACTAGGTTAATAATTAACTTTTTTTTTTTTTACTTTCAAGAGGTTACACCATTTTGAAAATTATATTGGCCATCTCCACTGGTCAGAAGGAGGTTCTTCAACTAGAGGCTCCCATGGTTTCCACTGTATCATTTTTCTTGCCAGGGAAAGCTCATTTTCAGCCTGTTAATAAACACCATACACAAATTCTTAACTTCTATACGATTGCCAAAGCATTAAATTATCTCTATTTCAGGTCATTATCTCAGTGATGTCACTACCCATCACGGTCAGAAACTACCACAAATTTCATCTATAAATATCAAAAGGAACTGTGTGTTTTGGAGGCTTTGATTTTTGTTTTTAAAAAAACCCATACTGAATCACCTCCAAATACCCAAGCAGTCTGTTCACCTAGTCATTCCCAATGACAACTTCATGATATTTTCCAGCCTATTTGGATTATCCCCCAATATTATTCAATAATCTTCTGCCCTTCCCATTGATTTAGATTCCGTAAGAAGCAATGTAAGTATACATGGTATATATGTAAGCGTAATGCAGTAAACGTGTAATTGTGTTAGCTTTTAGCATGGTCATCCCAATCACTATATGACAATTCACTTTCAGATATTTTTTTCCTGTTTGATTGTTTGTTTTGCAGCCAAGGAAGATAGGGAAAACTGCCAGTTTTCGGAACAGAAGCTCAGCCAAAGGACCACTGAAAACCACCGCTCCCTTTTGTACCTAACCTTAAATTTCCCCGCTTTACCTGTACAATGACTTCTTCTATGCGACCACTATTCAGTTTGTCCTCTAGTTTTTGCACATCAGTCTCCTGTGTATTCAGATACATATAAATAAATGTTTAGTTTTACTGAGAAGTAGAAAGCCCAGATAAAGCATGAAAATGATAATTTAACCAGATCATGCTCTAGTCTTCCTCAAAACTACCATCAAATTAGCTGGCTTCTGTCATTTTACATTATCAAAGAAATCTCACACACTTTTCTTATTGGAAAACAAACATCAAACTCTCAAGGATAAATACAAAAAACGAGTACTATTTAATGACATCCAAAGAAGCATTAGCAGCTAAGGGCTTTAGCATGTATCTTGAAAGACAATTTTGATCTTAGCTTTTTGTAAAATGATATGCAACCTTCCAGTTATCACCTTAAATACACAATACCAGTATTGCGTAGTTTAATGTACCAAAAAGTGTTTTAAAATGTCAAAGGCAAGGATTGTGCTAAGATACTACACTGGCAAGAGCACATGCGTTTTTTGTGCAAGTGTATGGCAATTACCACTGTTCTAGAAATCTTAAAAAAACCTATGTTTTCTTCTAATTTTCACAGAAAACATCAGTAAGAAGTTAACAATTCTTTTTAATATACCATCAAAATATTCCAGTCAGTAACAAAAATAAACCTCAAGACTTCAATTATTTCTGAACTGATACCTGAAAGTTACATATACTCCTGAAAAGCAGTCAGTCATTTTGAAAATCATTCCTCTCATCCTAAAAATCTTTTTTCATGTGTAACATTTATGAAACAGTACTGTACTTACCGTTTGCACCAAATTAAATCGCTGGTTTACAATCTGCTCAGTGTATTTCCTATATGCTGCATCTTTGGGAATGTTTTGCAGGACACCAAGGATTTTTGTGTACAGTATTCGCAGGCGCTGAAATGATCATAAGACATGGTTAAAATACATAACTAGAATTATTTAACTTCTTGCCCTACTTAATCTACCAGCTAACTGTTTATACATAAAATATAGAGGGTTATGGTATTCAATCCAGAAGTGTGGGATTAACAAAATAACTGTCTCAACCACAGAACTCTGGGATTTATCAGGACTGGGAAGTTACCACTGTCAGATTCCTCAAAGAAAAAAAAAAAGGGGGGAAGAAAAAAAAAAAAAAGCAAGTTGCAATCTGAAGTACATTTCATGCAAAACGGAAACAATAAAAACTGTGTTTCTAAAATTAACCATACTTTTAAAAAATGAGGCAAATTCATGTCTAAACCATCAGTTTCTGACAAATTACCTGGGAAAGATACAAAGAAGCACATAAACTACCAAAGCATAACGAGATTATATTTTTTTTGCACTTCTCCTCATGCGGGTGCAAAGTTCTGAGTGACAGACACTTAAATTAAGCTAAACCCTGAAACTTTTATTGCTGGATTTAAATGCAGTGATAAATGACACATTGGGGTGAAGAAATTGCAGCTTTTGGGCCATATGTCGGCTGGGTAACTGTATCTAACTGAAGAGGAATAGATGTCCTATAGGAACAATAAGAAATAGAAGAACACTGCAGTCAAAGAAATACAAAGAAGAAAAAACAGGAAACAGAAAGGGGACTGGCATCAACTAAAGCATGGTTGATTTCTTCATTCTTTGCTTCAGGTCACTGAAAAAACTAAAATTTAGTAAGTTCACCCAGAAGGTGTCTGACAAGGCTGTAGACTGAGCTAGAATCATTTCTACAGAACAATAATGATTTTCTTAATAGTTCTTTCTGATAGTATTCCTAACTACTGGTGGCAAAAGCATTTCTGAAATAGAATTGCTGCACAGTGGGAAATTTCAAAGTGGAGAAATTAAAGAATTACTGAAGTCCTTTCAAAGCTCGTGCCTCCTGAATAGGCAAGCAAGATACGGCAAACATACTTTCACTACTGGGCCTAAGGAGGTAAAAAGAAAGTACCAAATTGCTACAAGAACCACCTAATGTGGTTCCCAAGAACCACTGAAGTATTCCAGTCTCAACAGTGCTTGCCATCACAGGGCCTTGATGTGGCTCTGTACCACTTGGTTAGCCTCTATCATGTAAGACTAGCCTATCCCCTTACTATAGGTCTAATTTATTTCAGTACTTGTTGGAAACACAACATAGCAAGGCAGCAAAAATCGGTATGCCTGTGAAATAGAAATTACATTTATGAAAAACTGAATTTAAAGAGTCCTTTGCTTTTATTTTATAGAATCATAGAATCATTAAGGTTGGAAAAGACCCTTAAGATCATCGAGTCCAACCGTTAACCTAGCACTGCCAAGTCCACCACTAAACCATGTCCTCAAGCACCACGTTTACCTGTCTTTTAAATACCTCCAGGGATGGGGACTCAACCACTTCCCTGGGCAGCCTGGTCCAATGCTTGACAACCCTTTCGGCAAAGAAATTTTTCTAATATCCAACCGAAACTCCCCCTGGCGCAGCTTGAGGCCGCTTCCTCTCATCCTGTCACTAGTTACTTGGGAGAAGAGACCGACCCCCACCTCGCTACAACCTCCTTTCAGGAAGTTGTAGAGAGCAATAAGGTCTCCCCTCAGCCTCCTCTTCTCCAAACTAAGCAACCCCAGTTCCCTCAGCCTCTCCTTGTAAGACTTGTGCTCTCTTTTGCACTGGAGACGAGAGAAATCAAATATTGATTCATAAAAGTATTTACACAAAGTAGGTTGCTGAAATCAGCACGTGCAACAAAAAGTACACGTGCAAAATAACTACTAATGATATGAATTAAACCTTTAAGAATTAATTTTCTTCCTTTATCACTTTGGAACATTTATACACTTTCATTACGGTGGCACTGCTTTAAGGTATGCAGCGTACCTACACACACAAATACACAACGAAAAGCTTGGATCTCACTGACAATTCCCATTGACTACAGAACAAGACGTGACGTACCTCATGAGGGTTCTCAGCCACAGCCAGTCCTACAAGTCCAGTGGTCTGCAGAGAGAGCACAAACGTATTTAATATCCCTAAGCATCTGTTTCCATGCTATCTGACTATTTTGTTTTGGCTCAACGTGCACCTGGCAGGCACCGTTCTGCGCCGTGAGCCTCCGCCTCCCACCGCAGAGGCGTGATCCCGCAGATCTGCAGTGTTTTGGCCCGCAGGAAGCGGGGCCGGAGCGCAGGACAGAGAGGCAGCAGCTCGCGTTACAAAGCAGCCGCTGGAAAGCCCGCCCGGCGGGGCGAGCTCCGGCTCACCCGCCTCCCGCCTCCCGCCTCCCCCCACCACGGGGCCCGC